ACACACACACATACCCGCTTCCCGAGACCTGACCAAACACCACTGGTCAAGATCCAGGCATCTTGGGCATCCAACTCCACAACTCCGGCAGAGTGGACACAGGGGCTCAAGTTGATCCACCTCAACCCCGGCCGACGCATCTCAGACGAGCCGAGCCACCTGAGTCGCACCCAACCCCAACCACAATTAGTCACCTCCTTGAAACAACCCACCAGGAACCAGACGCACAGCGGACGAGCTCCCACCAGGGACCAAGTAGAGATGGAGCCAACCGACGACCAACCACCATAGTCGCGACTCGAAGAACCAGCAAACGGACCCACCACCGGCGAGATGGAGACGACGAGACTTGCCAACGACTTGGGAGAAGCTCCATCGGCGCAGAAGCACTAGCGATGGAGAAATTGGAGCGGGTTTACGCAGCTATAGGCCATCCGCCGGCAAAAGTGCCGACTAATCGCCGGAGAAGGCGCACGATGGACGGGATTTGACGAGCAGAGGCGAGGGTTGTCTGGGGAGAGAAAGGGGATCGTATTTATTGACTTTATCCATCATACATAATTTCACAAAACAAAAATGTAAATTATGTTACTTTTTATTGTACAAATATTAATATATTTAAGTACCCGTGCAGTACATGAATATTGTACTAGTTATTGAATTAAAGTTCAACTAGTATTTGATTTTGTGGACATGTTTAAACTATTATAAGTTATATGTATTTATATCATATTAAAATTATAAGTTAGGTAATAGTATCACATTTTTAAAAAAAAAAATCATTAGAAAAAATTAACATTATAAAAGTATTCCACATTATCACTATACTGATTGCATAAAATGAAATAGATAATGTATTTTTCATAAAATTGACAATGGCAGTTGCACGCCCGTGCGCTTCGGGCTCGTACAAGCTCATTTGGATTTGAAATCGAGTTCTATTTTTTTTTTCTAACCATCCCAACGAATCATTCCAGATTTCTAGCATGCAGAATTTTTCGATAAAATGGTTTTGGTCACAAAATATGCAGAAAGGAGGCTCAACTGATTCCAAAGCACTTTGTTCGCGCTCGTCGGACTTCAAATGATTATGGGCGAAGTTTAAGGTGAGCCGTTTTTTTATTTTTTGAAAACAGAATTTAGGTAGACATATAATTAAATGACACAAAATTGATAGAATTCAATCAAAATTGGCTGAAATGTAAAAATGCAATTTTTCACAAATAGTGTTAGATATGTATAAATTCGCCATTCAAATTTATGTTGCATTAAATTTGTGACATTTTATTGGGTATGCATGATACAGAAGGGCCCATTGGGCTCGGCCCAGTAGAACACTTGTGGATAACATCCGACCTCCTGAGAAGTGAGAACAGAAAACGAAAGGGAAGGGGAATTGCTTGACAAATAAACGGCTTCTCATCTCTTATCTGCTGCTTTGCTCACACAGAGTATTCCATTTGAGATCTGAAACTTTCACTTTGTAATTTAAGTGATTGATGGCAACCCATTACTACTCGCCGGCATCTTCCCGATTCCTGGCCGGAGCACCCAAATTCAGCCCTCCCCCAGCCAACAAAACATTTTCTTTAAGAACATTATCGACGGCGAGAGGACCGCCCTTCACCCTCCCCAACTGGAGGTCCGAACGAAAGGACCCCAAGACCCGGGAGCTCAAGCTCATCGACGCCTTCTTCTACCTGGAGCGCATGGTCGCCAAGGGCCACCGCCCCGACCCGGAAAGCGCCACCCAGCTCCTATACGACCTCTGCAAATCGAA